ATCAACCCCTTCTGGCTGGTGCTTGCCGCCAGCCTGGCGGCCGCTCTCTACGCCGCTTTCTGTCTCCAGGAATCGGTGAAGCAGCAGAAACCGGCCAAGCTGCTCACGCTCAGCCATTACAGGGCTGTCTACAGGCTGTACACGGCCCCGGAACACCGGAGCTCCAGGAGGAAGCTCGCTCTCTACTCCCTGGCTTTCTTCCTCCTCGTCACCGTGCATTTTGGGACCAAGGACCTCTTTGTTTTGTACGAGCTCGGCTCCCCTCTCTGCTGGGCTGCTGAGCTCATTGGGTACGGCTCAGCCGCCAGTTACCTGGCTTACCTGAGCAGCCTGGCAGGGCTACGGCTGCTGCAGCTCTGCCTTGGAGACACCTGGGTGGCAGAGATAGGACTGATCTCCAATATTTCTGGACTGGTGGTGATTTCTCTTGCTACGACAACACCACAGATGTTTACAGGTGAATTCTTAAATCCCCGTATCGCAGGCTCTTAGCTCAGAGATGCCAGTAGATGCGGGAGGGCAGCGTGCTTCTGGGAGTTGAAGCACGTGGAGGAAATTCTCCTTCCGTTTCAGCCCGTTTACCAACAAAATTGGCTTGCTGACAGCGGGGCTGACCAAACATTGGAGTTTAAACTCCAACCATATAGTTCCTAGAATATGAAGTTTCCCAGAAGCTGTATGACACTGCAGACACTGAAGTGCGTGATGAGATGCAGGAGGGTGAATTGGCTTCTAAATAGAGCAGGGAGAAACTGCCCGGAGTGACAGCTTTCTGGGATTGGCTTTGGAGACTGCTTTTCAGCTGAGCTTTCCCTAACGTGCTGTATCTTGCTCACAGGTTATGGGATTCTGTTCCTTTCCATGGCAGCCACTCCAGTGATCCGATCCAAGCTCTCCAAGCTGGTCAGTGAGACGGAACAGGGTAAGGAGTTCGCCAGGATACTTAAGCCATGTCCTGAAACACTATCTTCTTGGAACATTCAAACCAATACTGCTTTGGGAGGTTAGGACTTCCCTGGCTCCTTTGGGCTCCTGTGCCCCTGCATTTACCTTCAGGCCCAAGGTAACGTTGGATTTTTTTTCAGAATAATTGTAATTCATCAATTTAGACCTGCTGCATTTTCATGATGAGGACGAGGGAGGAAAAGCAAGATGGAAAGTATTGCATTCAAGCTGAGGAATAGTTGATTCATCCACCTGTTCATTTCCAAAGCTTTTACAAGGAGCAAAACAGATTATATAACAAGCAGAAAATAGCAGTTTCCCTGACCATGACTGTTTTCTGTAGATCAGTAACAGCGGGAAGAAACCTAGTGTTGTTAGAGGGTTATATCATTGACCATGGTGAAAGATCATGGATAACCCGTAGGAGGAGCATATTTGCCTTTCTTCCAGTAATTTGTTTGAAGAGCTTGCACTTGCTGTTAAGCACTGCAAAGGAATGTTTCTGCAGGCAGGCAGAGGGGAGGGGGAATCGAGGTGGGAAAGATCAGAAGGTGACTTTGCACAATTTGTGTTTCTTACATTAGAATGAAGGTGGCACATGCTTGATACCAGATTTATGATGGTAAATGTATAAAGTGCAGTCTTCTGCTGTACTTAATGTTTAACAAGCGATAAGATGTGCTTGGCAGTAAACAGATCTATATCACCCTGTCTAAAGCATTTACAATCCAGCTGATATATAATATTCCTGGTCACCTCTGGTGATACAAATTCTGGAGGTCGGTGGGCTGGTCCTGGCTGCAGAGGAGCTGAGCCTGACAGGTTTGGCCTGCCAGGCCAGCACAGCGTGCCTGACCCTGCTCCCAGCTCCTGCTCACCACGCTTGACAATGCAGACACCAGTTTTCTGATGGGGAGTGCAAACCCTTAGAAAGGTTCACAGAATCCCTCTGAAGGAGGTGATGTGGTAAAGACATTTGCAGGCACCATTAACCTCTTATATATCTTTTCCAGGTGCTCTTTTTGCTTCTGTTGCCTGTGTGGAAGGACTGTGTTCACTTGTGGCTGCGGGAGTGTTCAACTCTCTCTACCCTGCCAGCTTGCACTTCATGAGGGGATTCCCATTTCTCTTTGGAGCTATAATCCTTCTTATTCCAGCTGCTGTTATTGGGTAATTTACTTTAAATTTCTAAACTTTGCCATAGGACCTGTGAAAGGTAATATGAAAAATAATATTTGCTGTACTTAGGATAGAGGCTCACAGTTTTTAAGGCATATTTTCAGTTATGCTTATGAGAGGGTGTCTAGTGCCCCAGTAAGCAGAGGTGCAGGTCCATTTATTTTGGCATCTGAGTCCTGGCGATAAACTTACAGCATGAGTAATGTAGCTGCTGACATTCAAAGCACTTCAGAGTCTTACTCCACCCTCAGAGTAGAATCCAAAATTGGAAGATCAATTTTAAAGTCCTTCTTTATGGAAGAGATGGAGTTCTTTTAGCAGTCTCTCTTCCTGTTGTTTCTCTCCTAATTAAAGCAAAAGTTGTGTCATAATAGAAAACCAATCCCTTGATAAGTCCTGGGAGAGAGTGTTGGAATTTACAGAAGTGGTGCAACAGCTCCTGGCAGGGTCACTTTGTTCTGTTCCTTTGAAACCTAAAAACTTAATTCAGCGACATCTCAGTGTGCCTTTGTAGGTTCTAACTGTTCTTTCTTTCTTAGGTGGATAGAAATCTGGGACTCGAACCATGACTACAATCACTTCTCAGATGCTTCCCTGTCCCCTGCAGGTGGCTCATCAGCAAGTTAGCAACAAGGAATTGTCCGTCTCGGCAGTGTCCATCTAAAGGCCACTCTATTCTTCCCTTGAAGGACAGATTACAGTGGAGGGACACTTTGCTTGTCCTTACTAATTTGTAAATGCCAAATAGTTGGAAGTCATGGTTCTGACTACCAGTAGGAACTTGATTTGCAGATGTGAATGCCTCATCAGCATTGTGTTGGCTCATCTCTCAGAGAAAACTCAAGAGACCACAAACCAATCCAGAATAAAAGCTACTGTTGGCTATTTGCAAGGCTGGTTAGTGGTTTGGGGTTTGGCGGGCAGGGAAGGGAAGCTTCCGTGACATGCTTTTAATGGTGAGAGAGAACTGAGTTCAATCGCCAAACATGTTCCCCTCTGTGTACTACAGTGTGCAGCAGCTGAGCTGTTGGTGTGGGTGAGGCCCGGAGCAAAGCCAAAGCAGAGCTACCCAACAGTGTGCTGCTGAGGAGAAGGGTCTCTGCTCTGAATCAGTGTGTTGTCAATAAAAGTCATACAAACGTCACATGCCAGACTAGGCTCCTGCAGAAATCCCTACAATGAGCGGTAGTTTGCCACAGGAGTGCTATTGCCATCCTTAATTGACCAAACCTGCTTTGGCTTTGCAAGTTAGAGGTGTCCGAGGGAGAAAATCTAATGCATGCAGTGCTCGTAGTGAGGAGTGCCAGTGGCGTGTCCTGCCTGGCTGGATTTTGAAGCCCAGGATTTCAAAGGTACTTTTGAGAAGTAATAGCTCGTGTGAGAATACTAAGGTGCAAGTGGGTGCCTTAATTGACAGTTGCCCAAACTGATAAAGTTAAGGCTAAAACTGACAAAATTGGGCCTCCCTAACTGAAGACCCTTAACGTTATAAATTTGAGGCCCCAGCTGCGATAAGTGTGCCCTAGTATCATGAAATGACTGCTGTGCTCATGGCAGAGCCAGAAGCAGCTCTTCCTCATCATTACACAGTGCTGTTGGAACGGGCTGGTGTGAGGACACGGCTTAGTGTCTTTGGAGATAAAATCATGCCCCAAATTTTTGTGTCAGTGACCTCACTTCTGCTGCCCTTCTCGGAATATGTTGATGCCAGCGAGCAAACCCCATGTTCACGGTACTCATAATGGTTCTTTTCAAAACATTAACCATATTGCCTCAATCCTATTTTCTTCAAAGAGCCATAAACGAGCAGTTCTGTGTACATTGCGTGGCACACAGTGTTCAGATGCATGCAGCAATGTCCTTAACTGTGAAATTGCTTTGCAGACATGTTACTTTCAGAATGAATAAAACCTCCATTCTCTTTTATGGTTCATAAAAAGATAGCTTTTCTCGTACAGCTGTTGATGTAATTTGTCCTTGCCTAGTCTGTGCTTCTCTCACTTACTTTCATGCTTCTTCCTTTACTGAAGACTCTGCAGTAGAGAACCAGCAGCAGGAAGTCATCTGCCTTGTGGAGGGTGAGTGTGTGAGAGACCTGAGTAAGGAAAAATGCAGGTTTGGGGCTTGATTTGCTTGAACACCAGAGTAAAGCTTGCAAGAGTGCTTAGTCTGTAACCTGTCCTTCAATATGCAGGAAATGTGAAATGCTTATATAAGGCTTTGATCCCCGTTCACCGGGAGTTTGTGATAAAACCAGGAGAACTGGGGAGTGGAGAAGTAGGGAGGCTTTAAGAACTTGGTGTTATGCCACTTGATCCGTGTAGTTATGCCAGTGGACAGAGGCAGGAGTTATGTGTCTAAGCCCAGAATTGGCCTCCCTGAGGAACAGGGCATACTGTGAGTGTTGCATTAGATGTTTGTAGCTGAACTGATTGTAAAGTCTTCTCTACCAACAGACTCCATGGACACCAAGGCTAGCAGCTGCTCAGTGTTGTGTAGTGAAGTGAAACTTGTGTGCTGGCTCAGCTTTCCTGTTTGTGTCAGTGTGCTTGCAAAGGAGAAATTCAATAGGAACTATTATGCTCTATTAAAAAAAATTAAAACAAAGTTTTTCTAGGCTGTCCTCCAAAAACTACAACCATGAAGCAAAAATTCATGCATCGTGACTGTGGGCAGCAGGCAGTCCCTGGGGTGAGCTACATCAGTCTATGGGAAGATGAGCGTGAAGTGTGGGTCCCCCCACAGAATGGTGCCTGGAGAATGTCAATTCTGCTGCCCCTTCAGAGGATGAGAAAGCATGATGGCAAGAGGGAGTAAGTGTGAGAAGGCTGCAGGGAGAGAAGCATGTGGCACAGACAGAAAAGAGATGAGGGTTTGGAGTATAAATCAGATTTATTTATAATGTCTGATAGAACAACTTTAAACACTCTGACATGACGTAGCAGAGGAATAAGGAGTGGTGAGAACAGAAGAATTTAGTTCCTTGAGACTGTGTGTTCCAACAGGAAGGGGCTGGTTAGGGGATGTTTTGTCAAAAGCAGGATGAGTTCATTAAGGTGAAGATAGCTGAATGATGGGCAAACAGGAACAGTCACAGCCTGGGCAGCCAGAGCATGAGATGGGATCTCACTGTAGGTGAGACACGGAAGCTGTAGAGGACAAGTAAATCTCTACCTTGAATGGTGGGTGAGGAGGTTAATTGCTAGAGAGCTCCTGGGAAACAGGGCGCAATAGTTTTAGTGTGTATTACTGTAGGGAGAAAAATCCTTAGGACTGTTTGTGTGGGACTCCTTCAGTGGCCATGGAGACCTTGACATTCAATCAGTTACTCAAGACTTTTCCCTGAAGCAGCTCACAAGTGGCTTTTATCCTTTGACAGATTCACCTTTGGGCTCATCTGTTGGCTTCCCCATATTTAATCTGGAGATTAGATAGATTCTGATGAATGCTGGGCAGATAGAGCTATTCACCTTCCACTGGAGGTCAAAGATGCCATTAACTGTGAGTTTATAAGAACTATCCATAAAGCTGTGATTAAGCACCAGAATTTAACTTTTTTTTTTTTTTTTATCCTTAGATGTTCATGGATCTAAGCCAAAAGAAAATGCATTTGTGCTCCTGCCAGTTAAGGCAAACAGCAAGGCTTTGGGGAGAGCCAGGAGAAGGACAGAGTGGCTGAGAGTTCTCATTACCTCCTGAAAGGGTCGAGGTATCTTGAGCAGAGACAAGTAGAGGAGCTTGCTGCTTCTGCGGGGTGGTGCCTCAGCCCTGCAGATGGTCTCAGTGTCAGGGCAGGCTGCTGTTCCCTGGACTTGGCTCACTCCTCCTCCTCTGTGTGCTCTGAACAAGGATGTCTTTTTGCATTACTCGCTTTGCTCTGCATCAGGAAAGACAAGCTCAGGTAGGAGCTGCAATTTCTGGTCCTAATTGCAAAATGGTGTGTTGTTGAGAGCCTGCTCACCCTCCAAGTGGGTGTGAGAAGCAGGACAGGGCAGGGAGTGCAGATCTCAGAGGAGGTGTGTCAGGGAGCCAGTGGTTCCTCACCTGCAGTGGGTTAGCAGCTGGTGCTGCCAGTCCTGCTCCCAGCTGGCACTCACACCCACCAGCCTCCGCCTGCCCTTGGCACCAACTTCGCTCTTTCCTAATATTGCAAGGTGAGTAGCTGCAAAAAGATCTGGTGGGTGTTGAGAAGAGCTCGGTAGAAAGAAAAGAATGCGACTTTGGTATTGCATCCAGCAGAGAGTAGGGACAACGCTGAGCCTGAGGCGCCCCGCAGGGCAGTCAGGGGTGAGTGGTAATCAGCAAAGAGATACACCAGCTCCTGTTTGAAGGGGAGATCTGCTGTGGAGTGCCAACAACAGAATAAAATACAGCCCGTGTATAACAACTCCACAAGTACAGTACAGCAATTAGCATCTTCTGTATCTGCATGGATGTATGTTTTACAGAGTGACCATGCAGCCTCCTATGCCCTGTAAGTATAGCCCTGATAAAGTGGTAAAGCTTTACCAGCTTTAAAGGGGAGGGAAGGGGGGTTGTTTTAAAAGCCCTTTTTGCAAAGACCTAGTGGAAGCTTCATGTGATCTAAGCCCAAACTTCCGTCGCCAGAGTTAAGAGCACAAAGTGGTTTTGCAGCATTAGGAGGTGAAAGGCCCTCAAGGAGGGAGTGAGCTCAAGTGATAAAGGGCCATTCCTGGGAAAGAGAAAGCTGCTGCTGCTGAGCAGTTTAGAAGGCCTCTGTGCGTTATCTTTCCCAAACATGGGGATTTCGTTAGGGCTTAACTTTTATTTGCCCTTTCCTGCTCTCAGCTTCTGACCACAACGATATTCCTGTGGCACTCAGGAGAGACCATGCGATGCTTATGGACTGTTCCCTCTCAACTTCTCTTCTCTCTTGTGTGTCCTCTTGCAAAGTACCCCTCCCCAGTTCCCCAGTTTTTGATCTTCAGAAGATCCCTCCTCTTTGGACGTGTTTCTGGGGGAAGCTGCAGCCATTTGTGGGGGACTGGGCAGTGTCGGTCTCCTCTCACCCTCCGCACTGCGGGAGGCAGAGCTTGGGTGTCCTGCCGCTCCAAGGGAGGATGTGGAAGACAACTCATCCAGCCCAGAGTCCACTCTGGCTTGGCTCGCCAGGGCTTGCGTTTGGAGGGTAAAGGGGGGCTAATGAGCCACAGGCCTTGTCTCAAGCCAGGGTACTAAAATGGGGAAAACAATCGAGAGGGAGAAATTTGGCCCCACATAAAAAAGGGGTCACCTGGGAGTCTGTGGAGGGGATGAGGCAGCTGTGCTGGTTCTAGGTCTGCCCCAGGGAGGGCAAGCAGTCCAGGCCGTTCTCCGACCCAGCTGAGGAGTCCCGGGAGGAGCGGCCCTGGAGAAAGCGGATGATTTTGTCGATTGTGGCTTCCTGGTACTCGTGAGACCACCTGTGTTCAAGGGGAAAATTCAATTTAATTTTTCTGTTGTGCGAGATGTCACAAGATAGCTCAGTTCATTTGGGCCAGGAGCCAGCGACCGCTTCCCTCCACCCAGTCCTCTAGGAGCACCCCTTTTCCCTTTGGAAAATAGAGGAACACTGGCCGCCGCAGGAAAGCCCCTTCCCCTGTACCCTGCCAGGCTGGAGGGCTACAAGCAGGCTGGGATGCCAGCCCAGGATGCTGCTGCACGGAGGGGAAACAGGAGGTGAGAGGAATCCAGGTGAGCTGCTCACTCCTGCCCGGAGGGCTGGGACCATGAGGATGGGCATCCCAGCAGTGGTGGGATGGGGAGCTCTGTTACGCAGAGGAGCCCCCAGCACAAAGAAAGCAGAAGGGTTATGGTGGGGACCTTTGCTCCCTCCATGCTCTGGAGTACCTGAAGTGACTCACATCCCCTTTGGCCTGTTCCACCTCCCTCATCTGTTTCTCCCAATTTCCTTGTGCTCTTTGCTACTGCTTATGCAAGCCGTTCTCTCCAGGTGTCAAGGAACCCCCTGGCACAGGTTCCTTTTACTTACTTGATACCATTAAATTTCAGGACAGCCCTCATGTCCTTGGGAAGTGTTTCTGGGTCCGGCCACTCAAAATGGTCTGTAACAGGTACAATGTTCTTTCCAGAGTTCAGGGCTGTCACAATCTCCTGCAGGAACATACAAGTGCTCAGACTATGGCCCCTGTCAGTCCCTCACCAGCCCCTTCCTTCTCCAACATCCACCAAGGTCCCACTGCTGGCATCTCCTACCTTGTGCACCCAGTCCTTGCACTCGGGGTCTTCCATGCACTTATCCAGTGCATTTGGCGAGAGGACCAGCACGAAATTGCGGGCACTCATGACGCTCTGGATCAGCTTGTCCTCAAACTTCCCTGCCTCCAGCTTCTCCACATCGATGAACACGCTGAAGCCGTGCAGCTGCAGGTGGACCTTCAGCAGGCTGGTGGTGAGAGGACACAGCACCATGAGGAGAGCTACTGCCAGTGCCTCAGTTTCCTACCACATCAGCCAAGACATGATGAGACAGAGGAGCAGTGAATGGACTCCCTCAGAGAACAGAACAGTCCTTGAGACACCAGCTGCCCGCTCAGCCTGCCTACAGGTGTCTGGGCCCATGCGGAACACAGAGGGAGCAGGGCATGTGGCAGGGGAGGTTTAGACTGGATATTGGGAAAAATTTCTTCATTTGGTTGTCTTTAAATGGTTGTTGTCAAGCACTGGAACAGGCTGCCCGGAGAAGTGGCTGAGTCACCATGCCTGGAGGTGTTTAAGACGTGTAGATGTGGCACTTAGGGACATGGTTTAGTGGTGGACTTGGCAGTGCTACGTTAATGGTTGGACTCAATGATCTTAAAGGTCTTTTCCAACATACATGACTCTATAATTAACTCCCTGTTGTGATCCCCTACTGCCCCACGAGCACAGCGTGAGAAAAGGGTAAGTCAGTGTCAAGGAGGGACAGGGTGGCAGTGACAGGACTGGGAATCAGCCTGTCCATCGTGCAGCTTATGGCATGTGCTGTGCCCATTTGCACAGCAGCTTTTGGCAGCCTCTCCCTCCTCCCCGCTGCGGCTCTCCCAGCTCCACGCTCTTCCCACAACCGATTGCCAGCCTTTGCTCTGGGCTTCAGCCCAGCACCATAACGTTGCCTGCAGGACTCACCTGGCCAGTTGCGACCCAGTGCTCCTCCGGTAGCTGATAAATACATCAGTCCCATTGGATGCAGTTTGCAGCGTTATAGGGGAATGAAGCATTTCTAGGCAGAGCAAACAGCAACCAAAAGTTAAAAATACCCAACAGCTCATCCCAAACAACCCTCGATGCTCATCCCCACGCGCCTGATCCGAGCAGGACCCGCACCCCTTGCAGCAGTGAGGATGCGGACGCGGTGGAAGCCCGTGTGGATGTGGCAGTCCTCCTGCAGCTGCTGCTCCGTCACCCGGTGCAAGAAGTTGCGGTTGATGCCGCACGTCAGCAGGTTGTACGTGTACTGACGAAACTTGGGGTCGATGCTGCCCAGCCAGTCGGCCAGGTTGCTGCGGTCGCAGGTGGAATAGTTTGCAAAGGTCTTCAGCTCTGTCAGCTCCCGGAAAAACCTGGCAGAGAAACGAATGAAACTTCGTGGGGCGGGGAGGGGAGGCTGCTGGACCAGACAGGACCTAGAGACGTTTGGTACCACATCTTTTATCTGCACAGGAGGGAGTGCAGCTATGTGCTGTGGTGAAGAATAAGCTGAAGGAATCGAAAAAGAGAAGAACGGCTGTGTGACTGCAGGAGTGTTGGTCCTCAGGACGTGAGGTATGAGGGGTTCAGCTAAGGGACGAGAAGCTTGGGTGAGTTCCCATCTTTCTGGGTAACTTGCAGGATCCCATCTCCCCTGTGCCATAGGTGAGCTCTCCCCATCCCACACCTCTCCTGGGCCTTGGCCTCATGGCAGGAATCCCTCTGGGACTGCATACTGTACTGGACAAGCCCTAGCAGTCCAGGTTTTTCATCTTGAGGATCTCTGTTCTTGTCTTTGCAAGAAGGGAAAGGCACAGACCTTTTCCCTGGCTCTGTCACTGTGGTGATGACCATGAGAGAGGCCAGCGTGCCCTGGTGGCAGTCCTACCTTTTCCGAGTGATGCTGGAGTCCATCCCCAAATCCTCCTGCAGCTCCTCCTCTGTCAGCCTCAGGAGAATGTCCCCATCCACCTGATGGTCCTGCCAAGAGAGATCCAGGCTGGAAAGGTCTCAGGAAAAGCTGTTGGGTGAGATGCTTACACCTCTGCTACAAGATGGGGAAAAAGGGCCCATTCAGATGTCCCTCCCCAGCACGTAGCCCTACCAGGAAGCTCTGGCAGTATTTGTTGAATCCAATCTGCTGCAGCCATGTCTGCACCTCACAGGGCTTCCAGTTGGGAACCGTGGGAAGGATGCGCCGAGGAACCTCCTCCCCTATCATGCGCAGCACCTTTTTGGCCAGGGAGGAGGTGGTGCTGCTGGTGGAGTAGCACACTACCCTCTTCAGGCTCTGCGTAACCCCAGTCTCACTGAAAATCTGGGGACACAAAGGGAGGAAACGTCACTTTGATTTCCCTCCTCCTCCCCACAACCTGTGCCGGGCCAGTTGAGGACCAGGGTACTTGGTGAGCTCGCAGGGGAGCGAAAGACACCAAGATGTAGTTGTGGCAACCCCTTCCCTTTCGCACCTCCTTCCTTCAGGCCAACCTACCCTTTACCTTTGTTTTCTTCTGCCTGGTTTTGATGGCAGCCTCTGTGCAGAGGTAGAAGGCAGCGATGCATTGTGCTTCCAGCCGAGAGCTGTCCAGCAAGGGTACCAGCCGCTGCAGGTCATCCGCCGTCCTCCCCTGGCTGGTGTCACTGCTGCCCAACATCTCGCAGGCAAACTGCTCCGGGTCCAGCGAGGCGATGAAGGGCTCCACCAGAGCCAGCGTCCCCGAGCGCTCCACCTCCTTCTCGATTTCTTTGTTGGTGGCCAGCACCGTGATGGCCAGGCACGCGTGCAGGCGGATTAGTTCATCGTCTCTTGAGAACACCAGTGGGAAAAGCCACTCCGCCGTCCTCTTCTCGATCATCAGGCGCTGGTTGGCCTGCCCTCCGTACATGGCACAGTTGGCCAAGGCCATGGCGCAGTGCCGCAGCACAATGGGGTCCGTCCAGCGGCACCAGTAGAGGATAGCATCCAGGCCTCCATCAGAGATGAGCTGGAAACAGGTCTCCTCAGTGTGTTTGAACATGTGCTCCAGGATGCCTGAGACGCTCTGCGCAAGCTGAGGAACGTCTCGCTCCTTGGCTAAATTCAGAATCACTCCCAGACCAATCCGAGCGATCCGATCCCTGCAGGAAGGAAAGGCACAGGGAGTGACAACAGTGACTGGCGTGTGGACTCCCCCGTGTTTCAGTGGTGTTTGCCCCATGACTGCTTCCCTGTGGGTCACATGTTGGAAGTGTAGGAAAAGCAAAACAGCAAAAAACCTGCAAAACACACATTTCCTTAATGCGTGGTGCCCAGAACACACAGAGGACGGGATGGAGATCCAGTGATTTGTGTTGCTGCAGCACCAAGGAGGAATGTGAAGCGAGGTGGAGGCTGTGCGGGCCCATTCTTCCACTTCTCAAGGAACGTTTGACATGGCTATGCGGATCTATATCCCGCTCTTCCCCTTCTCTCCAGGACTGTTTTGCAGTACTCTGCGGACCTTATCTCTCATTCTCCCCTTTTCCCACAAAACCAGCGCACACCTTGCACCAGGGAATGTGCTGTGTTGTTACTCAAGAAACAATGGCTCGACCACAGTCCCACCCACTCACACACATACTCAGATAAATGCTACCCCGAGTTTGTCTCTAACTCGGAGAGATGATAATCCAATACCAAAACAGAGGGACAGATCGATGGGTTTGTTCTCCTCGCCCTCCTCCAGAAGGGATGCCTTTTGTTAAGATTTGGGCCTTCAGCTACGCCGAGTGATTACCTGGGAATGAAGTGTGTGTGGTTGCTATCAGGTTTTTGTGTGCAGTGCTATGTAGCGAGCCTGCAGTCTGTGCGTTTATCACAGGCACTCTCAAAGAATCTGTAGATGTTGCATAAGAATAAACCGTACTATTTGTGAACCTGATATCTTCTATTGAATGCAGCCGGACCTACAGCTACGGGCGGTTTGTGCATCTGGTGTCAGGCCTATAATTATGGCCCTAATTGGCATAGCTATTAAGAGGTAAGTCCAACTGCCCCCAGCCCCTCTAATCTCTGAGGACCGTCTAGAACACAAGGGGATTCATCTCTTACCAAATTAATTTATTATCTTGAATGCAACCCCACAGCTGCCAGATATGCTTCCAGGCTGCGATGCAGCGAGATGCAACAGACTGGTGTTGGAAGAACTTGTCTGGGTCTGATGGAAGAGCTTGTGATGGCACAGGACGTGGGATGCACAGCCCACCACCACCACGCCAGAGCCTCTCATGCTGAAGGTAAAATGTACACAGCACTGAACAGCGCAGGGTAGGCTAACACCAGGCTAGAAATAGATTTGCTTCGTCAGCGTTGCTGGGTGTGTGTGAGCTGCTTTGCGTTTGGGGGAGAAAACTCGTTTGTCCCTAACCGGTGCTGTCCTCTGGCTGCTCTCCAGATTGGTGCCAAGCCCAGGACAGGGGTTTCACACCTGACTGAGCAACCACATGGAACTGGCCACAGGGGTGTGTGAGAGAGGGGGATCCACCTGTCCTGGGATGGCAGCGTGGAGGCAGGAAATCTGTTTCCTCAATCCTGTGCTCTCCTAGAAGAGAACAGCGAGAGCCTGGGGGCAGGCAGCCGAGAGCCACCAGCTCGGCCGTGCCTGGCCTTGAGATCTCTGTGCTGCGAGGACGGTCTTAAAATAACACCTGAATGGGGCTGTGCCCTAAAAGCATGGTGTGAGGAAGGGGAAAATTATGGGCTTTTCCCTGTCCTCCCATGAGCCTGCCTGGGGCGAGGGGGAAGCTCCATCTCTGGCCTCAGAAATGACCCGTTTGGTGCCGTGGTGGAGTTGTCCGTTCACAAGGCACATGGTGCGGGTGCCCCATCCCACGCTGCTCATGAGGCCAGTGGGGTGTTTGGCCCCCAGCGATGGGGGGGTGAAGCCATGCCAGCCTCTCTGCGCTGGCAGGCGGGAAGAGCATTTCTGGGAAGCTTGTGGCCCACATGGCTCGCACTGACCTTGGGGTGGATTTGGCAGCAAACGCTGTGGAGAGCTCTGGAAAAAAAAGCCTTCAGCCTGGGACTGGCTCTGAGCCCGGACTCAGCCACAGAGCTGGATGACAAACAGCCTCACCAGGTCCCTGACTCCCCACAGCCACAGGATGGAGCCAGGGCCGGCCCACCTCCTGGCTGAGCACCGCTGCTGCTGCACATGGATGCTGGAAGAGGTCTCTAAGCCAGGGTCTTGGACCCCAGGGGGGACCCTACGCCTCCCTGCCATCGCTCAGAGGCTGGTGGTGGGTCAGGCTGCGGGGAGCGAGGGGCTGGGGGCCCACAGCTGCTCCAAGGCCCTGGCCCAGGCACTGCTCCCAGAGCAGAGATGGTGTCTCCAGCAGCTGCTTTCTCTTGCCAGGAAGGAAAGTGCTCAATTCAGACCGTGCCAGTGATGTTTCCTGGGATTAATTCCACTCTAATGCACTTTCCTGATATAGCTGTTGCTTCTTTTTGCCTGGCAGTGTGTGCAGCGAGGCCCAGGCTGCGAATCCCCAACCTTACAGCAAGACACATTGCCCATGAAGCTGGAGCAAGACCTTAAACGTTGGCCAGGCTTCCCCCACAGGCACCCAAAGCCCTGGCTGGGCCCGGCTGAGCTTGGTGCACCGAGGGAAACTGGAGCTGGCAGAGCCACGCATTTGCCTGTGGGGTGCCAGGAGAGAAAGGCCTGATCCTGACCCAGCTCAGGGCATGGATACGGCTCCTCTCAAACTGGCACACGCTGAACCAGCCACAGGGCAGAGCGGGGAGTTCGCATGTCGGGGGACATTGCGGGAGTGTGTTCATGGTGTGTGAAGCGTGAGCTGCTGGCGGGTGCTGCATCAGCACTGCTGTGCATTAAGATGTGTTGGGTGCCACCTGTGCACGTGCATCTGCATACACGCACTTGTGTATACACACTCGTACACGCGCTCCCACCCCACCGGTGCCGCTTTGGCAGAGCCAGCCCGACGCCTCTCACCTGTCCTGCGGAGCAGCACGCGCATCTCCGGCCTCTGAGCTAGGGGACACGGGCTGGGGGGCTCTGAGGGCCGCTGAACAGCCAGTTCCCCCCTTAGGACCTCACTCCAGCCCTGGTCAGCAGCAGAAAGTCTCTGATAACCAGCTTTATCCTCCTCCTGATGCTCTAAGGGGGAGTCACGGCTCGTCCTTGGGGCCAGATGCTCTGGGCCAGCCCAACCGACCCAGCTCTGCCGTGAACCCTTACCTGGGTGGCCCCAGGCTGAGGGTGGCTCATGAGGACACCCCGATCCTCACCAGCATCCCTGAGCTGGGGCTGGCTCTCCTCCCTCCAGCCGGGGAGGGGACAGGTCACATCACTGCCTGGGTGTGACCAGCAAGTCAGGGACCCCCTGTGTGCGCGCTGGGTGTGGGGGGACGTGGCGTGGAGCCGAGGGGGTTTGGCGCACCCGGAGCACTCAGAGCAGGGAAATCTGGGGGGTGTGGGAGGGATGGGGGGAGGAAATCCCTGCTGCGCTCAGGGCAGCAGGCGAGCCTGCGGTGGGGAGGCCTGTGCCTGCCTGGGGGTGCTCTTTGCAGACTTACCTGTTTTCTGCCACCAGGATCTGCTCCAGGAGTTTTCCTGCCTGGCACTTGGTCTCCAGCTCCGCCGTGTACAGCAGGTTCAGCAGCAGGTCCAGGCCCCCCTCCAGGCGGATCACGTCACACAGCACTTTGGCCACATCCCTCCCCAGCGTGGGCATCCCCCAGGCTTCCTCCACCAGCTGGAAGACCTCGGCGATGGCCTTCCTCAGCTCTGCAGGGCCAGCCGCCTTCTTGGCGTGGGTGATGGCCTGGTGCAGGGCGGGCAGGATCCGGTCCAGGGCTGCCCGCACATCTGTGTTCACCCCGGGGGAAACCTCCCGGAGCTCCCTGGAGCTGCCCCCGCCTGCCCAGCTGCCCGCTTGGCTCACGCACTCGGGCACCACCAGCCTCTCCGCACCCGACATGGCGAAGAACCGGCACAGTTTATAGAGGGAGACGAGCAGGGTGAGCACCATCGGCATCTCCTAGCGCAGCATCTTTGGTCACCCGCCCACTGGGAGCACTCGGCCAGGGCCACCACCCTCCTTGGGGGGACCCGAGGTGACGGGAGGGGAGGCAGAGGAGGGGGGACGGAGCTGGCCTGGGGTCCAGCCGCAGGGCTGGGCTGCCAGCTCCCTCTCCCCTCCTTGCCCTGCCGCGATGCGGAGCTGGAAGCGGTGGCAGGAGCTGCTTTCCCAGAGCCAGGCTCAGCATCTCAGGTCCTCAGGGGCTGATGTCACCCTGCGCAGGCGCCGCCTCTCCAAGGAGGGGCTCATCTCTGGGCAGCAGCATCCCCCTCCTCGCTGCAGATGCTCTGGCATCCCCCCAGACCCCTCCTCCCACAGCCCTCCGCCTGCCCAGCCTGAGCTGGGGCTTCTCCTGTTGTCCCCATGGCCCATGTCCCTCCCCACTTTGCCCGAGCTGGTGGGGAGCCTGTGGTCACCTCCACAGCAGGCAGGGACCCCCATTCTGCTTTTGCAGCAGGTCTCTCCGGGACCCTCTGCGGCTGGTGAAGGGGGCACAGGGTGGAAGTAAAGGCTCAGGCACCGTGGTGGCCACGGCTGCGGTCACAGTGAGGTTGTGGCCATCCTGGCACTGCGTTTTGAACCCGTTTGGTATCAGCGCAGGGGGATAAATAGGTGCCTTTGTGTGGCGGAAATTCAGAACAGCTCTTCTGGGTGGGCTCAGGATTTGCATGATAAAAGAAAGAGCAGAAGCAGCCTGGGCTGCTTTTATTTAATTTTTTCCAGGCCAGACGTGCTCAGGGCAGAAATGCTTTGGACACTTCTTGCCTGTGTTGTTGGGAGGAGCAGCTTAAATCCTTGTCTCCAAAACCAGGTTGTTGCCAGCTCAGACCGAGACTTAAATTCAAGTAGATGTTTTGATGCGACAGTTGCTTTTAATCCTCTCTGAATCCACTACGCAGGGACGGAAAGGGGCATCATCTCGCAGCGAAGGACGGTAAACAAGGCGACCCGAGCAGCACAGTACTGCAGGAGAGGCTCAGCACAGAACCAGTAAGGATTTTCCTGATAAATTATTATGAAGCAGGGGTAATGATATGGGCTATTGCAATGCAGCACGGCAGAGGGGTTTTATACTTCAGAGGAAGCTGCTGCCTGAGGTGGGGGGAAGCAGAATTCAAGCCATTCCCTTAGGCTTGTCCTGACAAGCCCAGAGAGCTGAGCTTTGCTTCACTTTTAGTTTTGCTTTGCTTTGCTTTTTGGGAGGGAGCACCGCCAGCCTGGGCTCTGGCAATGGCAAGGTTTCCCAGCCTTGTCTTGGGGGATCAGCCCCCTCCCCTGAGCTCTCCTCACTGGTTCTGCTCAGCCCTTGGCTGCAAGGGCTCCCCCAGGGCCCTGTTACCCAAACCAGCCCCTCTCTTGGGGTCTCCTCCTGCCGTGCTTTGAGCACAGCAGACAGGGAAAGGCTCACTGAGCCTTCATGGTTCTGCAGTCACTGGTGGTTGGGTGCCTCGAGCAGAAAGAGGGACCTTTGTCTCAGCCGCTCAGCAAAAGCAGTTCAGATGCTGCCCAGCCCTTCTCCCTCCACCTGCCCAGAAGTCTGTACCCTCTCAGGGAGCTTGGCCCCACAAGTCTGCACCCTCTCAGGGAGCTTGGCCCCACAAGTCTGCACCCTCTCAGGGAGCTTGGCCCCCAGGCTTGATTCAACGTGGATGGGATGAAGCTTTAGTGCAACACTGGGCTGGTGCTTGCACCCAGAGACAGTGCCAGTCCCACCATAGCTGAGGCCAGGAGGCAAGGAGTGGGGTGACGGGGCTGCAGGAGAAGTCCTGCCCCAGCAGCCCAGGTCTGGTGGCTGCCCTTGGCTCACTGGGGCTTTCCAGTGGAAATGCCTTTCTCAACAACAAATCAAAGCTCTTTCCAGCAAGGATGGGAGCAGCTGATGCTCAGAACTACATGTGTCTGAGCTGGCAGAGGTGAGACCCCTGGAGTAGCAGGCACCCCACTCAGGTTCTTCTCTCCCTGAATCTTCCATCACTTATTAAAGCCCAGAGCTGTGCTGCTCCTGCCCTGGGGCTGGGACGGACCCCGTGGAGATCCTGCCCCAGCGGTGCCGTGGCAGCAGAGGCAGCCGGAGGCAGTATCTTTGTAGCCTTGTGTGCGTTTGCTCCTTGCCCCTGATTAAATAAACATCCTGGAGTTATCAGGAGCTGCTGAAAGAGCTGAGTCGACATTAATTAGTAACCGAAAAGATTGGTCAGAAAGGGAATGATGGGAACAAAACACACAGGCTTTTGTTTGCCTACCGCAGTGAAAGTGCAGAGGGTTCTCGCTCTTCCTCCCTCCCGACCACTCACCTCTGGCCCCTGGGCCCCTTGCACAAAGGTGGCACCTGCCCCATCCCGAGCCGCCATGCCTCAGGGCTCTCCAGCTTTACTTCCAGCCTTGCTGACATCCAGAAAGCCAAAATCCCAAGGCCAAGTCCTCCAAAATGGGGACATTTTGGTCCAGCACAAGCCTAGGGCTTTTTGTTTTGTCCTCTGAGCATCACTCCCCCATTCTCTCTCCTTAGTGTTTTTGTCTTGCCAAGACCAGGCTGAGAAACAGCCTCCCCTTGAGAAGGATGCTGAGAGCTTTAATACCATGAGATTTGCGCTGAAATAAGTGTGGCAGGACCTCAAAACTGGTTCCTGGTTCCGGCCCGCTGTCCCCTCCTGCTCTCTGAACCAGTGCCCAGCCTGCACCTGGGCTGGCAAGTCACTGGCAGCAGAGGCACAGCCAGCAGCTCTGGGAGCTGCCTGCATGTCTAGGGAGCCCTGTCCCCTCCAAACGCACCCAGCTCGATACAGACTGCGAGGGATGCGGGATGGGAGAGTGTCTCTGCCCCTTTTCCCCTGCTCTGACCTTGGCCTGTTTGTTTTCTCCTGCCAGGGCAGGCTGAGCAAACAGTGGATGCCAAGGCCCCAGCCGCAGCCGCACTCCAGCCCGCACAGTCGCAGGAGGGCTGCGCTCCCGGCCGCCCAGGATGAGGCTGCTCTTCCCTGCCCTTGTGCTGGCCCTGCTCGCCACCGCCCGTGCCGCTGAAGGTGAGCTGGAGCCGGCCAGCCCCACACCGGGTGCCTCCCGCTTGGAGCCAGGGTGGGGATGGAGCACGTGTGGCTCCTGGGCTGATGGAGGGGCTGGGGAGTTAGGGAAGGGTGGGGAGGGGACCAGGTGTTGGCCCTGGCCACATTGGTTACGCCTCACAGCATGGGCAAGCAGGCGGCGCACGGGTGTTGGTGGTGCCTGGGCAGATCCCTGGCCTTCCTACAGCTGGAATGCCAGCATGGAGCTGGGAGCCTGGCACAGCCTGGCCCGTGTTTCCCACCCCAGCAGGACCTGGGTGGGAGCGGGGAGAGGTGCCACCATAGCCCCTGGTGTTGGGGTTGACCTTGGAGAGGTGGGGTCCCCCCAACCAGGACATGCCCGAATTTGCTTTCACCCCGGGGCTGGGCTGGGGAGGAGTTGCTGGTCCCACTGCCCGCCCTGCGTTACTCCTCCCGTGCTTTTGCAGACTCCTGCGTGGGTCGCTGCGAGGATGGCTTCAACGCGCTGCACAAGTGCCAGTGTGACACCCTCTGCATGTTCTACCAGAGCTGCTGCAGTGACTACTCCACTGTCTGCAAAGCCAAAGGTACCGACTCCATGGCCACACTTCAGCCAGGCCGGGGGGGGGCTGGGGTGGCCACGGGGGCTTAGAGGGGTCTGTGCTGGGTCAGCTCTGCACCCACCCGTGCCCACAGGGTGCTGCAGCACCAGGTTTTTCAGCAGCCCGCAGCATGGGGTCGGTGCAAAGTTGTAGTGCCTGGGAGCAAACGGCTCCTGCACCCAGACCCCGTGGGAGACGCCCAGGGCTCCCCAGAACCAACCTGCTCCCTCCTGCAGTGACCCGGGGAGATGTGTTTGCCTTGCCGGAGGACGACTACCTCGACTACAACCTCACCATCGACTTAAGCACGGCCGAGGGGACCGAGGCAGCGCCCACAGAACTGCCCGTGTCCCTGTTGCCGGCACAGCCCACACTGGAGGACAGGCCGACGGAGGTGCCCGTGGAGGTGCCCGTGAAGGTGCCCAGCACCACGCCGGATGGCTTCGGGGAGCAGGACACCGTGGAGGAGCCTGAGGAGCTGTGCAGCAAGAAACCTTTTGATGCCTTCACTGACCTGAAGAACGGTTCCCTTTATGCTTTCCGAGGTACCTTGGGGACCTTTCCTAGGCACATGGGACACGCTGCTGTGCTGTCACCCTGTGCCGATGACTGTGATCCCTCCTGATGCTCCCACCTTCCCTCTCTCCCCAGGGAAGTATTTCTATGAGCTGGATGAGACAAGCGTGCGACCTGGCTACCCCAAGCTCATCAGTGATGTCTGGGGCATTGAGGGTCCCATCGACGCAGCCTTCACACGCATCAACTGCCAGGGCAAGACTTACCTGTTCAAGGTGGGCAGAAGCCTGGCTGCAGGGCTGGGGGTGCTCTCGGGGCAGCCAGCGCGGCCCCCCAACACACCCCGTCCTCACCCTGGCACCCTCCATGCACGCATGCACACAGTGGCTGTCAGATATCCCCAAATCCCTGGGGCTATCTGGAGCCCCAGGCAGCTACAGCTTCACCACGGGGCTTCCCAGCACCCGCTCGCTCCCCACAGCAGACTCACGCCTGGGGGATGCCGCACCCAGCCCCCTGACCCCCTGTCTCTCCCACACCCCCCAGGGCAGTGAATACTGGCGCTTTGACGATGGAGCCCTGGACCCCGGGTACCCACGCAGCATTGCTGAGGGCTTTGAAGGCATCCCGAACGACATCGACGCAGCCTTCGCCCTCCCCGCACACAGCTACTACGGCAATGAGAGAGTCTATTTCTTCAAGGGTAAGGGGTGCAGCACCCCACTCCTGAAGCCTGACACCAGCGGCTGTGGGCAGGACACCCCTCTAGCGACTGCTTCCCCTCAGTGCGTGTCCCGCACTAATACCTTGCGCATCCCCTCCTAGACAAGTACTACTGGTCCTACGACTTCGCCCACCAGCCCACACAGGCCGACTGTGAGAAGTCCTCCCCTTCCACCGTGTTCAGGCACTACGCCTTCATGAACCGTGACAGCTGGGAGGACATCTTCCAGATCCTCTTCGGCGGCAGGACGAGTAAGGGCTGGGCCAGCCCTGGGGAAAGGGCCGGCGGGTGCCAATATAGCCCACACTGGTGGGGTGCGAAGGGTGCGGGCACCCAGGGAGGGGGGAGCAGTGCCTGAGAGCACCGGCAGGCTGGATGAGCCGCTGTGCCGGGCAGGAGCCCCAGCTATGCACAGGAACCCCGCAGTCACAGCTGCATCTCCCACAGCATCCCAAATCCCACCCTCTGCAGCCCTTATGCCCCACATTACCAAGCCAGTCATCAGCCACCTCACACCACAGTGTCGCTGCTGGGGACTGTTTATTTTCACTGGAGCTGGAGGTTCTATAGGAAAACCCCAGCCTTGGGCAAGAGAAATGAAAGATGGAGAGGAGGAGAAGGGGGCTCAGCAGCACAGGGCTGATCCCAGCCAAGGGTGGGGTGAGCGGCTGCTCCTGGCTCTGCCTGGCCCACATCCCCATCACACATCCCATCCGGGCTGGGATCCTTCGGCGCATCCCCGTGGGTCTCGGAGCAGGTGCTGGGGGCTGCCTGTGGGGCTGGGCTCGGCTCACTCCATACGTCACAGCCCCTCTCACTCACCCTCTGCCTCTTTGCCAGCCGGGGCGAGCAGCCCCCATTACATCAGCAAAGACTGGCGGGGGGTGCCCAGCCGGCTGGATGCTGCCATGGCCGGCAGGATCTACGTGACCTCCCACCAGCCCCGGAGGAGGAAGTCTCGCCGCCAACGCAAGAGGTACAAGAGCCACCGGTCACTGAATTTGGGTTTCTGGACATGGCTGCAAAACGACTCTGACTCTGCGGGTGTAGAAAGCGACTGGCTGTCGGGCTCCCAGTGTGAGACCCTCCAGAGCGTCTACTTCTTCGTAGGAGGTGAGTCTGGGATGGCAGGATCCAGGAGAGACGTGGAACCAGGGCGGCCAGGGCAGGGGGAGGTCTGCTCTCACTCTGCGATGTCCCTGAGCTCCAGGACGCAGTGGAAAGGTGCCCAGGGCTGGCAGCGAGGGCTGGCAGCTCCCTGCCGCTCCCGGGCAGGCCTGACAGCCATCTCCCTTTCCTCCCAGACAAGTACTATCGCGTCAACCTGCGCACCAAGCGCGTGGACCTGGTGCGGCCCCACTACCCGCGCTCCATCGCCCAGTACTGGCTGGACTGCCCACAGCCTGGGGAGGAGAGCACCTGAGAGGGCCCCGCCGGAGCCGCCCTGCAGCACAGCCCTTAGCTAGACAGAAATAAACTGTGAGTGCCGTGCAGGCTGGAGAGCCCTGTCTGTCCGTCCATCTGTCCGTCCCGTGGTCTGCACAGTCCTTGTAGTCCGAGATGCCCCCAAGGGCTGCGGTTGTCCCCTCAGGTGTAATAACTGTGTGTGGGCTCTGCCAGATCCCCGCTGCTGGCCCCGTCCATGGCGTGGCTGCGGCTGCTCAGATCTGCTCCGCCAGCCAGTCCAGTGCCTCTTCCCACTGGAGGAGAGGGACGGTGCCGGCGGCTGCCAGCCGGGAGCCAGCGGGGTCAGCCCCACAGCCCCATGTGTGAGTGGCTGGGTGCCCAGCCACGAGGGATCCCATGCGAGGCACTGCCCGGCCTCCCCGCACTGTCCTACTCACCTCTTGGCTCCGGCAATCCAGGCCATGGCGGTGCCGAAGGGATGACCCTCCCCTCGGGGCTGGGACAGCGCTTGGGCCCTGGCAGCTCCCGACGGACTGCGTGTTGCTGAGACGAGCTCCTGCTCCTACCCCGGCTCCTGCCGTGAGGACACATGAACAAACCCCCACCCACTGCCCCACCACCCCCTGGTAACCCCAGGGGCTTCCTGAGCTGCAGCTGATGCCCAGGGGGGTGGCCTCAGGCCCTGGCTCTCACCGCTTCTCCTGGTGCTGCTGGGGGTGCCCGGGCAGCTGATGGAAGCTGGGCAGAGCCACATCCTCCTGGCTGGGTGGCAGGATGCCCCCACTTCCCTCGGGGGGGACCGGCTGTGGTGCGGGGGGCCCTGGCAGCACCTGGAGGGTGAGCAGAGGGGTCAGGCTGCTGTTGCTGTGCTGTGCCACCCCACTCTGAAGAGAGCCCGGGTGCCATACCTGGGACACGATGGCATCGGCCAGCCCGGGGCAGCAGTGGGGGCACCCTGGGCAGCCGGGGCGGCTGGAGGTGGGAGGCAGCTTCTGCAAGAGGGAATAGCAGCGGGTGGGTGGTTTGTGCATCCTCACCCTGCCGTGGGCACAGCCCCACATGAGGATACCCGGGGCCCCCCCACTCACCAGCAGCCGGGGGCCAGAGGCCGGTGTTGTGTCAGGCTGCTGGAGCCTTGCGGGGTGGCCTTGGGGGACACGGGGTGTGCGGGCGCTCCGGAGTGGGGGATGGCTGTCACAGGAGCTGCGGGTGGCTCTGCGGGATGGGCCAGCTGGGACATCACCACTTGGGTCTGGGGACAGCCAGGGATGCCTGGGGAGCAGGGCAGGGCGTTGGCAGCCTCCAATGAACCCCCAAGCCCTGCCCAGCCCAGCCCATGGGAGTCCCCAGGAGAGGCTGGCCGAGACAGGGTGATACCTGGCCCGGGGATCTGGCTGCCCCACTGGCTCCTTGAGCCCCTGCTCAGGGTCCCGTGCACGTGCCCCGTACCTCAGCTGCTCGTTCTCCACCACGAAGTCCCGCAGGAGGCCATAGAAGCTGAGCCAGGCTGGGGCTCCCTCCGATGGGACCTGCCCTTCAAAAGTGGAGCAACGCAGCCCTGCAGGGCCATACCTGCCTCCCCAGCCTGGCCATGCCCCTGGCTTTGGGGGGGTCCCTGGGACCTCTGTGGTCCTCATTGGCACCCTGGGCAGGCACAGCTGCTGGCGCAGGGAGAGGTTTTCCAGCTGCAGGGCATGGATTTCTTCCTCCAAGGTTTGCAGCAGCTTCTCCCTGGACACCTGGGAGCACAAAGGGGGTGGCTCAGGGGGGTCCAAGCAGTGGGGCAGAGCACCCTGCCTACAGCCCCTGCCTGCTATACCCTGTTGGCCAGAGGCCTGGTGGTGACCCTGCGGGCCCGGCTGGCGTAGTGCAGCGTGCTCAGCGTCTCCGAGAGGCAGCGTGAGGACGGGGAGATGCAGGCGACCTGCCAACGAGGAAGAACTGCAGGTGAGCTGCGAGCCACGGGGTTCACCCGTCCCCATCCAGCCTTCCCCTCTACGGGGCAAGACGCCAGCCCCCTGCAGCTTCGTGCACCCCTGCCCAGCCTCCTCCGTGCACGTACCATCAGGGTGATGCCCGAGCCGCCCAGGGAGCGGGCCAGCAGCCTCGTGAGCTTGCTGTCTCGGTAGGGAATGTGCGTCCGCTTCCCTCGGGGTTTGGCCAACAGAGAGATGCAGTGTCCTGCCGGAGGATGAGCCATCAGAGCTCTGATAGGGACCAGCAGCTCATGCTCCCATGGTGGGGGTCCCCCAACACTTACCCAGTGCCAGGAGACTGCGGTTGATATTGTTGGCCTCCACGGAGAGCTCCCCACTGGAGCCGGTCTCCTTCACCCGCTCGCTGCCGGCCAGGTCCACGAAGCACAGCGTGCCCTGCTTGCTGGGGCAGGCGCTGGGCTGGGGGACCCGTGTTGGGGGGGGTGATGCTCTGGCCCCCGCCTCGCCCCTTCCCCGTGGCCCACAGCAGTGTTCCAACCTCTGGGTCTGGGATCCAGCCCCTGCTGCTCACCTCAGCCCCACCAAGACATCCTTGGGGAGGAGGATGTGACCCTACATCCTGCAGCTGTGTGCACCCCCCCAAAGAGCCCCGACCCCCCCAAGCCCTCCCCCCAGAGCAGGACACATGCTCACGGCCCGGCTGCGGACATGGACGGTCAGAAGAGCGTGGCTGCGGCTCGAGTGCCTGTTGAGGGCATGTGCCGAGGTCTGTCGCCTCTGGGATCCTGCCGGGGGGAGAGAGTGAGAGCTGCAGGGGGGGCACGACGCCCCACACCCTGACATGGCACCCACTGCCCACCCCCTGGGCTCTGCGGCAGGATGGGGACCTGCCCCTCTTGGCTGCCATCGGAGCCCCGCTGGCCCTGGGGATGGTCTGCAGGGGGCTCAGTGCCCCCATACCAGGTTTGGCACCACCTGAACATGTCCCAGCCCTGCGCCCGTGGCTCAGCACCT